AGAATTCGAGGACGTGATCCTGCCACCAAATATTGGCTTCCAGTACGCATCGCCGCCGCCACCACAGTTCCCTGGATACTAAACGACACCATCTCTAATAATATTCCCCAATTTTATTCACACCCATTACTTTCATTAATGTAGGATCATAACATGTTCATCAATTTGTAACCATTTTTACTCATTGATGAAATTCAAAAATATTAATTACTCTTATCATCTACCCTCTTTTTTTTCCCCTTCAAAAGAGAATTTTTACCTCGAATAAAGTACCTATTTAATGTTCTCATGAATAATTAGTTATAATTCTCAAATTATTAAAAAAAAAAAAACCTAACAGATGCTTCAAGATCTAGGCAATAGGAAACCAACATTGTACTGTCATATATATTTTGATTAATTCTACTATTCCTATTATAATATTTAGTATGATAAAATATTTCTTTATCATTATAGTAAATAAAATATTTTCACAATGTGAATGATTGAATAATTATCAAATACTTGGTTAACCTAGAGTCTCTTTATGTTTATAACATTATGACTAATTCAACGAAGAAAATAATAATAGAAAATGAAATAATGTGGAAAATTAAAAATTTTTAAACCAAATAATAATATTGGAATAGCTCAACTTAAAGCCAAACCTCTCCAAAAATTAGAGGTTCAAATTTCACGCCCCAATCTTTTAATATTATTGATTTCTTTTTTTTTTATAAAATGATACGAACTTCCTAAATTGTTAATGAAAATTTGTCTAAGCTATCTCTTAAATGAAGCGTAATAGGTCGTTTCGAATTATCGTTATTTAAAATAAAAGTAAATGAGAATCCATTCATTCTAAGGGCCTATATGAGTGTGGTGCAAATTGAAGAAGTTCAAAAGATAAAATATTAATCATGCTATCAAATAAAAAGAAAAATCTATACATGTGCTCAACATTTTCATAAGTTTTCCAAGGGTTAGAATTAAACCATCGTATCTATTAATGTTTTTTCCTTCCTTTTCTTTAACCTAGCTCTTTTTTTAATACACATGTCGGGATGGGGGATCAAACTCACAGATTGGAGATATATGTCAACAAATTTTTTTTTTGACAATAAGATATAATATGTCAATTACTAAGGTATGCTCGTTTTGGCTTTTAACAGATTTAATAAAGCATGACAATGACAAAAAAAAAAAATCTTAGGATCTATCTTAGACTTGCGAGTGCTTTGGGCCATAAATTGCTTAATTTAGCTGTTCTTGGGCATTCTACTAATTTTTGGGAAAGTTAAAAAACACATTTGGTCCATGAACTTTAACTTTAAAATTTGTAATAATTTAGTCCCTATCGTAAAAAGTTTTATTAAAATTAAGTGTCAAATTTTATGGTATAACAATTTAATATTTCTAATTCATAAACATATTTGGTCTCTCCTTAGTTTATCAATCTATACATGCAAGAAACTTAACAAAAAAAATTTCAGAAAATAACTAAATCGTTACCCCAACTTTAAAATACAATGACTAAATTGTTACATATTAAAATTGAAGAACTAAATTGTTACCAATTTGAAAGTACAGGGACAAAATCATTACAAACTAAAATTTAGGGACTAAATTGTCAATTTAGCGAAAGTATAGGAACTAAAAATGTTTTTTTAACATTTTTGGAGATCACTGTCTCTAGAAAGCTAATTCCATTTCTTTGAATATCTCATAATTATATTCACATTCTTTATATGTGATTACTTTTACCATTTAGCTCTCTTATCTAACCAGACTCGTAACTTTTTCAATTAACTGTTTTACACTTTTGCTGTTTCTTTGTTATTTATTTTACAAATAATTTTTCTTCCTATTTATTAGTACCAGTAACACTACAAGGATTAAGACTTTTCAAAAAACGTTGGGAGGGAATTATCCCGACTAAATTTTTCGTCAAGAAAAACGTCGAGAAAAAAGCTTCTCCTGGCATTTTTTCTCTTTTCGTCGGTATAAATCCTTTTACCCGACTATTTCTATACGTCGCTGAAAAGCTCCTTCACACTGTTTTCTAAAATTTCGCCCGTATTTTTTTCTTAAATATAATTCATATGCTAATTTGAATCCCAAACTTATTTAGAGAAATTTCAATTCAAACTAATTTATATGTTCAAATTATCAAATAATATGAAATTTATACATTAAACAAATGTTCAAATTATCAAATAGAGTACCGAACATGCATGAACTTAAAACAAGTAGCCCACTCCTAAACTAGCCAATACACCAAAAACAAACCACTTGTATTTCCTACCAGTTTTGGTTACTTATAGATCTATAACTCACCAAAACTAAATTTAAAAGTCAAAACTCTCCCAATTGAAGCGACCATTCACCCCAAGAATTTTCCTTTTTACCCACGAAATTTTTGACAACGATTTTATTTTCGTCGTCAGGGGATACTTTTGGGGAGAAAATGTAACGATCTTCGCCATAAGTATCCTATAACAAGGAATTTGCAATTCGTCGCCACAAGTTTCGTACTTTTGACGATGAAAATTTGCATTTCGTCGCCAAAAGTACCCTACAGCGGTGAAAATAAAGTTGTCGCAAAAAAGTTCGGCATAATATGGGATGTTTTTCAAAACTTATGGTGACGAAATCAGATTTCGTTGTCATAGGATATTTTGGTTTCGAGAAAAAAAATTAAGACAACAAAAATTATCGCGACGAAAGCTAGTACTTTTGGTGACGAAATTTAATTTTCGTTGACAAAAGTTTTGAGAAAAGAGCGGGAATTTTACCGCCAAATTGTTTAATGAAAATTAAGGCGACAAAACTAGTGGTTTCACGACGAAATTTTACTTTGTCGGTCACCATTAAACCCAACTCTCTCCCTTTCCCTTCCATTTCTGCATTTTTTTACTTTCTCCCGGCCCTTATTTCATTCACTGCTCCCTCTCCCTTCCCTCCGCTCTTTCTCCCCACCTATGCTCTTTCTCCTCTCCCCCTCATTTTATTGGTCCGTCGTGTTCGTCCGTCTGTTGCCATTCTTCTTCCTTTGAGGTAAATTTCAGTTGGCGGCGAATTCCGGTCACAGGTTACGTGTCACTCGAACAAACAGTCCGACTTGGGGATGAGTGAACCTGAAACCGAAGTTATTCGACGCCAGTCAAGTGTCCTTGTTGACAGAGAAATTTCGACTAATCGCTAAATGCCGCATCACAAAATTAAAATTATATTTATGACCAATCACAAATTTACACGTGTCCTAAATTAATTTTTAAATCAACAAATCAAATTGTGTCATGTGTCTCTCTTATGGTCGTCCGATGAAATCCACTAATTGGATCAAAACTCATGAAGAGACTGGGCCCAAGCCCATGGCCCCTTAAGCCCATGACCCATTTAAGACCCACCGAAACTCTATAAATAGAGGGGTCACCTCTCATTTTGAAAAGGGAAGAAGAAGCTAGAAACAGGGCACTCAGAATCGTCTACAGTCAAGCAAAGCATCCAAAGCCAACAAGACTTGAAGCATTCGAGACTTGAAGAGTACGAGACTTCAAAGAACATTGAATCTTCTCTTCCCAAGCAAAGCTGAAGCACTTCATAAGCTACAAAGCCGAAGCACTTCAACAAGCTGCAAAGCCGAAGAATTTCACAAGCTGCAAAGCCGAAGAACTTCAACGCGCCACAAAGCCAAAGCACTTCCCAAGCTGCAAAGTCGAAGTCGAAGAACTGCAACAAGCGACAAAGCGGAAGCACTTCACAAGCTGCAAAGCTGAAGAACTTCAACAAGCTGCAAAGCCGAAGCACTTCACAAGCTGCAAAACCGAAGAACTTCACGAGCGTAAAGCCGAAGATTTCAAAGATTCTCCAATAACATTAAAGCCGAAAATTTCACAAACTCTTCATCAAGCTACAAGCCAAAGAACTTCATCAACAAGTTAAAGTCTTCAACAAGCTCAAAGCTGAAGACTTCAAAGATCATTCGACAAGCAAGAAGCTGAAGGCATCAACCATTGATTCAAGAACAAGTTCACGAGCCCTTGAATTAAAGTTTACATTTGAGAGAATTAATCAGAGGATTATATATTAGGGATTGTAACACCCACGTACATAAGGGAAATTGACATAAATGGCCCACTGAAAAAAACTATTTGCTCAAATGGCCCACAATCGAAAAATTGTTTTCAATGGACCACCATATTAAAATAATGAATCTAAAAAATGTTGGAATTACGTTTATACCCTCAATTAAAAAACAACCGTTGAACGCTCATTTCCCTCTTTTCATCTTTCTCATGCGTTTCAACTTCTTCCCCTTCTTCCTCTCTTGATCTTTCTCACTCGAACCACTGAAGTTATTCAAGTCACTTCTTCTTCCTTCTTCCTCTCTTAATCTTTCTGGTGTATTTCTTCCTATTCATTTCGCCCATTTTTCTGTTACCGTGCGTGCTTTTCAACGTCTCGCGGGTTGTTCCCGTTGAACGCCTTCGCCTGCGCCTCGCCCGCGAAACCAAGGTTAGGATCTCATCTCACTAAACCTACACTTAATAGCCATGGGTCATGTTTAATTTCGCTGTGGAGTTCTTCTTTGACGTTGTGGGTTTAGGGTTTTAGTTTGAACAATTATGTGAAATATTTATGTCTTTCAGGCGAATTAGGTAGAAATTGTCGTGTGTTTTGAAAACCTCTTGAATTGGGTTTATGACTTTCTGCGGTTTTGGGGGAGATTGATAAGTTTTTAGAAAGTATTTAGAATTCGTTGGAAAGTACGGGCAAATTGGGGATCTGGGGTTAATTTCTTGGTGTAATTTCTCCGGGTATCCCGGGCGAGATTCAATGAGAAAAAGAGCTTCGAAGAATCTCGTTCGAGGTACCACGAGAAATGAAGGTTGGGGTGCTTTGCGTCTGTTAAATTTCTCGGGGTTCTCTCGGGCGAGATACGAACGAGAAAAATTCATCTGAGGCATCTCGTTCGAGGTACCACGAGAAATGAAGGTTGGGGTGGTTTGCGTCTGTTAAATTTCTCGGGGTTCTCTCGGGCGAGATATCGCCCCGAGATATTATACAGCTTCACATTTCTGTCGACTGCTTTCACGTTTTATCTCGCGCGCTAAGTATGATATGTTATTTCTCGGTGGTATCTCGCCCTGGATTGGCACGAGAAATTGAACATAAATTACGCTCGAGGTACAATGAGAAAGCACCCGAGAGAATTGTGAAGCTATATAATTTCTCGGGGCGAGATCTCGACCGAGAATTCTTTCAGAATTTTAACAAAACATTGCATGACCTTTTTTTGTTTTCCTTTGTCATTTTAAATTTGCATATGT